TTAATCTACCAGTTTTACTACTGTTTGTTTATTGTATTAATCAAGTTAGTCACCAGTTTTACTACTGTTTGTTTATTGATTAATCAAGTTAGTCACCAGTTCTATTCCTGTTTATCTATTGATTAATCAAGTTAATCACCAGTTCTATTCCTGTTTGTTTATTGATTAATCAAGTTAGTCACCAGTTCTATTCCTGTTTGTTTATTGATTAATCAAGTTAATCACCAGTTTTACTCCTGTTTATCTATTGATTAATCAAGTTAATCACCAGTTCTACTCCTGTTTATTTTCATTAGCTTATTTTAATTTTCAAAATTTCTTCATCATTATGTGAGGTGCATTTTTGCCTCTATCTGTATAACCAGCTGACATTATTAATACACTCAGGTGATTGTACTGTGCTCTTTAACCTCAACTGTTAGAGAAGAATTTGTATGAGAAATCTTTGTTTTCAAACTGTGAAACTTGTTATTATAAGCCTAAAGGGTGCCATGTTAGCATGTTCCTAGTGTTATAACCTGAATAATTTCATCTTGTTGGATTCTTCACATCACTGTTCTATCTGTTTTTTGTTTTTAATAGCCTAAAGGGTGCTCTATTAACATGTTCCTAGTGTTATAACCTGAATAATTTATCTTGCTGGATTCTTCACATCACTGTTCTTTCAGTTTTTGTTTTAATAGCTAAAGGGTGCTCTATTAACATGTTCCTAGTGTTATAACTTGAATAATTTATCTTGTTGGATTCTTCACATCACTGTTCTTTCTGTTTTTTGTATTTAAAACTTTGAGCTGCCTGGTTACTTACACATTCATTGTCTGTGGTTTTATTTTTCTCATATACACGAGAGTTCTTTACTTACTAAAACCTTAAGTACCTAGAAAAAATGGTTCATTGATTTTCTTATCCTCCCGTTCATTTTCTATAGTTTGTTACCAGTTAAAACTAAAAAACAGCTTGTTAACTTTGATGTTATTTAGTTTGCATTAACTTTCTGTTGTGCTTGTGACAACCTTTTGATACCTTGAGACAACAAAATGTGTATGGCATCACTGATGAGTTTGTTTAAAATACTTATTTAATGAGATTTTCTGACTTAGTTACATTTTCAGCAACACCTGCCAGGTACAATGTCCAATACCACTTTATGAAACTGTAGTTCATTTGTTATTGTGACATGTGATTACAGCTCAGATATGATCTTTTATCAGTCCCAATACTAATCTAATAACTCATGTAAAGACCTATTTTAACCTTCCTTGGTGAGTCAGTAGTTAGTTTACAAACTTACAATGATAAAATTTAGGGTTTGATTCCCCACTGTGGGCAGAGCTCAGAAAAACTGCTTGAAGAAAAGGTTTAAGTAAAGAAAGTGTTATGTTTGGCAAAGGAAAACGTAAACTCACGTACACGTAGAGACATGGGATTCCACAAAGGAAAACGTAAACTCACGTACACGTAGAGACATGGGATTCCACAAAGGAAAACGTAAACTCACGTACACGTAGAGACATGGGATTCCACAAAGGAAAACGTAAACTCACGTACACGTAGAGACATGGGATTCCACAAACAAGCAGGAAAGTGCAAGGGTTCTCAAAGATACCAACATATAAAGTGATTCAAGTAAATGAAACGTACAGAAAAATGGGAACATAAATTAAACTTAAAACCCTTTCTGATAAACAGCTACAAGTAGTGGTATAACTACAAAAGTTGGGCCCTACATTTATTCCCTTTCTTGGCAATTCTTAAGTTTATCTGGCCCTTCAGGACCCCCATGCAATGTAGGAAACTAAAGCAGAGATAGCATTTACATTAGAGATGTGCCACGTAATCAGCATGCAATTGGTACCTGGCCTAATTAACCACAATTTCTGTTAATATAATTGGCATCAGTTGCTATGGGAAGATATATAGATGAGAAATTGAACTTTTTAAATAATTTCACTTGTAGAAATACTTAGATTTCAAAAATAAATAAAAAAATAAAGTGCAATTTAAAATCTGTAATAGTTTTATACAACAATGCACATTAATTGTTGACCAAATGAGGTAACTAATAATAATCTTCCTTAAAATATTTCATTGTTATGGTTGCTAGGATTCTCCACCAAATGGATTGAGGAGAAGAGAAATTTGAGTGTTGACTGTTGAGGCAGTTCAAATAGTTTTCTGTTTGTGGAGTATTTTGTTTTAAGTATTCAAGACTTTGTGATAGTTAAGTAATGAAAATAGAATAAAAATTACACCATAGATGATTCTACTTTCTCCATCAACTCACCACATAAGGTACTTTGCATATCAATGTGTCTGAAAACAAACAAGTTGCATGAAATGGGAACATAATTATAAAATATTTTGAAAGAGGTGGAGGCATGAATAATTTACTTGCATTCTTGAAATGTCCTTGAGGGTGCTTCAATCTATTCTGGTTATTATAATAGTATTGGGATTAATAATGAATCCAAACTGGGTTTAAAATACCTGTGTCTCGGTAATAAAAAGGATTATGACACTTACGACGAACAACATTGTTTATTTATTTAAAAAGGGACACAGATAAACGTTTTGTAATTCTACAAATTCAGTCTTCAGTATCTGAAACAAAATACCAACAATTTACAGCAGCACTTGTCCATCGTAAAACTTACAATGCTACATTTAACAGTTATTAAAAAAACAAAAAACTCGAGAACATTAAGTAAAGAGAGAAGTTAGAACATAAAAATTAGGAGTAGCATCAGTATTATTATACTTATTAAAAAATGTACAATTTAAATGTTCTTTAGGGTTGGAGAATGCTGTTTGCTGTGGAAACCATTTTTTAGGGTTGATTATTATATGCGATTGGAACTACTGTTCTGCTTGAAGCTGTTCTTGCATGTCAACAACAGACTTTACATCTACTGTAAATTTAACTTTGGAAAGATCTGTAAAATGGTCAAGATTGATGAATGAGTGAAGAATGCATTGTTTTTAACTGGATGATTGACTTGTGAATAAAATCCTCTTAAATTCAGATTATTGTACTTTTGTTTACTCACTATAGTGTAATCAGTTTTTGGTTAATTCGACAGGCAGAAGATTTTAAGAATCATTTAAGATTGTACGTAGAAAAACTGGAAGAAGAATTATTTAGAAAAGAAAGAGAGTTTACAATTCAAAAGAAAAAGTTAGAGAAGGAAAAACTTCTCCTTCAGGTAAAACAAAGAATGTATTGATTAGAAGGGGTAATATTTTGTTTTTGCCAGATGGTTGCAGACTAAAATTTATATACATATTTGCGAAGTTATAGGTTGCTTACAACTCTACTTGTTATTATTTACTTCAAAAGGTTTTAGTTTTGGAAATAATTAGGAAAGATTCCCTAATGCTTATGCCATTTGGATGTGACATTTGACTTGCTTTATTCTAGTGCTTCTATTACTTATCTTCAAAAACATTCGTCAAGAATTACATCAAAAAATGATGTTGTAAGTTGCTTTAATTTATGCTAGTTTTTGCATGTGTTTGTAGTTTTTCTATCGTATTTTCTTCATGCATCCATTCAAAGACTTTCACAAATCATTTGCAAAAATAACACTTGCATGATTATCAGCCGTTACCAGATTTAGTTACCATAACTTCCTTATTCTTAGATTTTAGCTAATAGCGAGCTTGTATTTTAAACATAACTATTCATGCATAACTAAGTTTTCATGAATAATAAATACAAAAGTAATTTTTAAAAAATGTTCCTAGTCATGTGGCGCAGATATTGAGTGTATAGCTGCAAATGTAACAGTTGATATTTGAATAAATTAGGGTTTTCACACGTTTTTCATAGAACTCTCCAAACTTTGATGTACACTTTTGTATGATTATAGCTTAATCGTACTTTTAGTTTATCCACACAAAAAAATTATATAGTTAAAATTGGTAACCTACAAGACTTAAAGAATATGGAAAACTTGTTATATGTCTGTAAATGAACTTGTCTTTGCAGTATGGTTTGTTAAAGTACATATCTTACAACTTATGTTATATAATGTTAAAATTTTACTGTTATTAGATACTTTAAGTAGTCATAATCTTTCTTAAAAAACAGTTTTTGAAACAAAAGTTAAGCATAAAATATTGATGTAAAAATGGTTCATATTTGTTAATGTAGGATGAAATCAAATCACTGAGAAAGGAACTTTCCAAGGTTTTGGAACAACAAGCTCACTTTAAAACAAAAGAAAAGAAAACAAGAAACAATGAACCAATGAGAGAATTGTATGAGAAGCTAGATAACGTACGTGAGCATTATCAATAAAACTAGTATTCATAATTTTTTTATTGAAACAGGTACCTCAAAACAGCAATAAATTTATTTTTTAAAAGCATGTTTTATTCTTTATGGTTCATATTATGGAACTGAAAACACTTTTAAAGTTAGATGACCTCATCATCTTTTTTTATAACCGAATGTGCACAGGGTCAGTTCAATGGACCGACATCATGTTGGAGTAGGAATGTTTACTATAATTCCGAATTTACTACACATATCTCTGCAATTGTGGTAAGCTTTTAGTAAAATTTACAAGTCTGTTGTACACAAAAGATCAGATTACCTTAGTATTTGTACTCAAGAATATATCTTTGAAATAATGATGTCAGTTTGACTCAGACTCTGACAAGTTGGAGTGTAAGGTGACATTTGTGGGAGGAATAAAAATACTTTTGTCTATTGTACAATTTGCATATGGGTTTTTGCATAACCTCTAGAACCTACAAAATACATATCTACAGTTTTCTTTGTTATCCCTGTATATTTACCACAAACTGTTTCTAAATCAGCAGTGTAGGGTAAAATGAATAGTTGATAACCTTAACACCAAATACATAATACTGTGTTGAATGGCACTTTGTAAAATGCTATGGCATGTGAACTTTGACCCCACCCGTACACAAAGGGTTAACAAATAAATATTCTATAGTCAAATCTATTCTGTCATTTAGTTCATTACCAATGCCAACTTTAGCCGAACATTGCAATGTTCCTGTATGAGGTAACAATGATTTGAACTCTTTTTTTTTTTCTATCACTAAAAATATTTAGAAATTAAAAAGTATAGAATTACAAAAGTCTTGTTTTTGAAGTCAATAATTTTTAGTTAAGTAGAAAAAAAAATCCAGAAGGTAAACCATTATTGTGTTAACCTATCTAAGTGTTGTAACTGTGTCAGTTTCTTTGTTATGCCGTTTTTAGTCAGTTGATTTGTCTCATTTTTATAGAATTAGAAAAAAAACAAGTATTTTGATTTGCTAAACATAATCTGATAGCAAATAATGTACAGCACTGTTTATATTGGCTAAATGAACATAGTCAAATAAACCACTTTTGGAAAAAAATTTATTAGCACAAAGACTAGGAAACTAGTTTTTACATTTTTGTGTGTACTCTACAGTTGTACACAGATTAATGTGTAGGACTGAAGAAGACACATGAAAGTGCCAAAACATTCTTTGTGGTAACATTTTGTTCCAAAAGTGGTTTATTTTTCTACATTCATAATCTGGTACTTAACCTTTTAAAGTTTTTCAAAACCCCCAAAAATACAGTTTATTAACTTGCATCTTGTTTTGCCCACAATACTTAAAAGGGCAGGCACAAGTTTGAGTAGAGTATTCTTCATTTGAGGCATTATGGGTAATGTCATGAGATGGTCCCTTTGTGGTTCGTAATTGTTACATAAGCAAACTTCAGGTGCTGAAGAATAGGGGGAGTTGAAACATCACTTAATTGTTCCCATCTCTTTAAGCCCAAGAGACTTTTTTTTTCTGCACTTGACTGATATTGGGCTGCTTTGGCAACTACACTTTGCTCAATATTTTGTCTCTTTTTGGGATAACCACGTAACCAAGGTAACTGGCTGCAAAGAGTAGCAGATGCTCTTGTGTAGTTGATTGTTTTTCATATTTGGATACCTTTATCAATGAAATGAAAAGAGAAATTCCAGGGAATGTTTGTTTACCAAAATATCCTTTTGAAAGTTAATAAGTTAATAATTATCATGTCTTGTAATGGTGTATTCTCTTGTAATTTGTTTGATATGTTTACTAAATTACTGCTCACTTACTCTTCAGGATTTAGGGACAATGGAAGATTAAAGTAATTAGTTTACTTTACAAAAAGTTTTAAAGGCAATCTTTAAAAGTTTTTTTTCTTGAAAACAGTATTTTCTGATCCATTCTTTACTATATCTTTAAATACTCTACTAGGAACTGCATGTGTTAATTAATAATTAAGTTATTTTGTTGAAGGAACATGCAACTGAAACTGAATTGGAAAAGAAACTAAAAGCTCAACAGCTGCAGCTAGAAGAAGTGAAGAGAAACACTGAATATGTAACTAAGGAATTCCAAATGTATGTCCTTATTAAAACAATCATAAACCTCTCTAGTTTTTGTTGAATCATTGTACGAGTACTTCATACCCTTTTGTCTTTTATTTCTCTAAAGCAATGGAATAAAGTAAATATGACTTGTGATTATTTTAGATTTTATTTTATTTATTGTGGAATGTATGTTTTAATGATTACTACATTTTAGAGTTTTTTGTAATACCATGATTTAGCTTGTTATTCCATTTTTGCCTTTGTGTAGATTTTTATTTTAATGTTGTTGTTTTTTTTGTCAAAAGCTGATATCTTCTCTTTAAGTAGTTTTTACTTGATTGTTCACTTAATGACAGCTTCGGTGAGATGTTGTACTGACTTTAGGCCATATTTTTACTTGATTGTGAGATGTTGTACTGACTTTAGGCCATATTTTTACTTGATTGTGATGTTGTACTGACTTTAGGCCATATTTTTACTTGATTGTGAGATGTTGTACTGACTTTAGGCCATATTTTTACTTGATTGTGAGATGTTGTACTGACTTTAGGCCATATTTTTACTTGATTGTGAGATGTTGTACTAACTTTGGGCCATATTTTTACTTTGGTTTGGAGTGTCTTTTACATCATAATTTTGGTTATGTGGATAATTCATTCATGCTCAGCATTGTGATATTAGATGTGAATTTAGTGACTGGAGTCTGGATTCTCAAGGTCCTAAAGCTACACTCCCCCTCACCCCTACATCCTCTTCAGATGTTTGTGTTTTTCTAGTATTATTTATAACCAGATTCAGACATTACCTGAGCATCTTCACCTGTGTTTGGCTTCAACTCGTGTTCAGTCTCTTTTTTTTCTCCTTCCTGCTCAGTTGGTTTGTTTGTTTTCTGAAAAGCTAAAGTATTTGAAATAACTCCCTCTTTCTCTCATGGGTAGTTTTTGTTTTTCTGACCTATGGTAGATGCTAGAGAACAGATTTAACTGAATAGTGTCGTTACTACCCGTTGTCCATGTTTCTTTTCGTTTGTAACTGGAGTCAGTACTACTGCTTGTCTTCACCAATCTCTACCATTGGTTCTTTCAATATCTGCTACATAACAGGCCTCAAATAGGACTGAAGTCTTCTATTAGTTGTTCCACATCAGTTTCCTGAATTTCTCCAGATTGGCCTCTTCAATTTTCCTTTATTGGACATCTTTTACAACCTCTCTTAATTGCACATTTAATGCTGTGTGTTTGGGCTTGGTCAAAATATATGTCACTACCTTTTACAGAGTTACATTCAATATTTAAGTAAACAACCTTATTATCAATGTATATCAGTAAACTTGACATTGAAAGTTAGTTGGTAATTGAAATTTTTATATTATTTAACTTTTAATTTCATAAGGAAATGTTTAAATAAAGTTGTCAAACACACCATAGAGAACCATCTCTTCTCATACTTTTCAAGGCATTTATCTAAATGATGTGTCCTTATTTGATGGACATGTTTATAACCAGTAGAGAGTTTTCCCCTCTACAGAAAACTCGTTATTCCTTTCAGGTGGGCATACATAGACAGACAGCCACAAATTTCATGCATTTTTTTTTTTTGTTGTTCAGCCAAATAAATGATCATTGTTTTAGGACATTCTTTTGTAGTTTCATGTTCTAAAATTCATCTTTGAAAGCTACCTGAATTATTTTTTGATCAAACAACATAGAAAAAAAAATTAGGTTTACTGAAGCATGGCAGGCATCTGAGTGCAAATAACCTCAATGTTGAAGTAAGTGCTAAAGCTGTTGTTTTTATTTATAATATTTTATTGTTATACATATTTTTAACAAAAGCATCAGAAATGTAAAAATTAGAAACTTGTTAGATTAGATAATAAAATTTAAATTTAAAAAAGCTTCACAAGATTGGGTGTGGTATGTGAGTTGCATGGCTCTAACCCGATTGTTTGTTTACCCTAAGCTCTACCACAGTGACTTTTCGTGTACAGTGAGGGTTCAAAGTACATTAATAAAACCACAAAATTGAAAGAAATCAATTTTGGAAAAGTTAGAAGCTGATGTTGTTAAGGCAAATAGTTGTAAATGTCTCTTACAATCTGGAGTCATTCTGGGAAAAAAAGAAGGCAATGTTGATTTTATTTCATAATTTTCAACTTTTTATTGCATGTAAATTGCTAATTTTGCTACAGTTAGTGTTAGGGTAGAGAAAATAACAGATAATATAAAGTTTTAGCAAAAATAAATATTTGATATTCATTTAGGAGGTTTTTGCAAATGAACTATGAAGCTGTATGATGAAAAGAAGACTGACATATAGACTTGTAATGTTTAATAGAAGATATACCTACTGTGTTAAAAGTTATGTATAGTTTTGTGGTTACAAGGTCATTCAAAATGACCAACCTTGGACCCTACCCTTGCTCAACGACTAATTTCACAACACCCCCTATAATGAGTGTAATAGGGCCTATTGGTTCTAAAGATCTCAAACTTTGACTAGTCAAACCAAAGTATTCTTCTCCACATAAAGGTTGTCCAAGTTTTTTGGGTTTTTGCAAACTTATGTCTCTTCTGTTTGTTACCTTTCTGGAATGTGTGTTTTCTTGCTGCAGTGCACCCATTCAGCCCTTGATGCAACTGTTGAAGGGTCAACTTTAGCACCAGTAGATTTTGAAGTTCTGCAGTGACACAGCTGCTAGATTTACATATGTCTCTGAATGAAGTAGCCTATGGTACTCAATATTTGAACTGAAAATCTTAGGTGGTCTTCCGGTTTTTGAAATAAATAGTACCAATATCTTTGCATCTTTTAACTATTTTGTGAACTCTTTGTTACACTTTTTGCAGGAGTTTCCCATCATTATTTATAGTTATTCTTACTTCATCAGAAACTGTGCATCTTGAAGTCATATTTCATACTTGAAAGTACAACAGTTATGTAAGTGACAGACTAAAGGTATTTAAAGAAATAAGGGTTTGACATTATTACTATATTTCACCGTGAAGTTTGTGTGTGTGAGAAGATGTATTGTTTTAAGTAGAAAACTTGAGAAGATGTTTGAAGAAAATGCAAGGAAAGATATGATGTTGAGAGCAATGGAAAATAAGCTCAGTGTTTTGAATGCAGAGAACCAGCAGCATTTACGGAAGCAGAACACAGGTAAATGCTGTAACACTAAGATTATGCTCATATTATGTAATATCTTCTGCCATCTTTGATTTTTATTGTACAATTTTTTGCTTTCATTCATCATAAATCTTAAAAAAAATGAATATCTGTTTTTATCCACTTTTTTTTTAAAGAAAAGTTATTGTTTGTAATCCAAGCTTTGCATTGGTGAAATTCTAAGTAGTGACTTGAATTACCATTTAAATTGAGGGTATTTCATAAATGCGTTACGTCCAAATTGGATACTGGTTTAATTATAGACTTTGTGAAAATTACAGTTTAATTACAATTAAAAAACTTAGTGGCCATACTGAATTCTTCTATCAAAAGATTGATTTGTACAGTATTATAATTTCCTCTTTTTTTACTATACAATTTGAGTTAACCTATGTATTTTGCATATGTGTTTTTGAGTTGACTTACCAATGACATAGTTTTCTGTTATCAGACAAAAAAAAAGACAAAAACTTTGCCTCTCTAAAGTACATGAGCAAAGTTTTTGTCAACACTTAAAGAAAGACTTAATTCAATAACAAAAGTTGTGAACTTTCAGTAAACTTTCTTTAAACGTGGATGGTAAAATAGATACAGTAGTTATTCCTGTGTGAAAGATCTATTATTAGTAACTTCCTATATTTAGGAATAAAATGCATTTTGATTTGTGAAATACCTTTGCTTTAACTTAAAAGTATCATGTGAGTAGTGTTTGGACCTTATATGGCTTTTAACCCATCCACTGTAGCTGGAACGTATATTTCCCAGTGTTCCCGCCCCCTCACACTGTGATTGGGACAAATGTTTCTCATTGTCGACGCTGTTTACACCTTCTTCTGCTGGGTCCAGGTTCATCATCTTGACTATCATCAGTAGATGAAGATCTAACATCCTCTTGTCTCTGCCTCTTCATCATCATGCATTTGAACACCACTTGACTCACTTTCACTATTTTCTAAGTTATCTGAGTCAAGGACATCAAGCATATTTATATAGTAATTAGGGTTACTTACTTGCCGCTCTAGCGATGCGGGCACGGTCAGCACGCAGGTGTCGTACATTCTACTTGGGCACATTGTTGGTTATTGAAGGTCTGAGTGGAAAACATTGAGGGAAACCATATATCAGTCAACATTAGGTGGGATGCCAGTAAATACTTTCCAACTCATTTTAATCCCATACGTCACATGTGGCAATTTTGAATGATAATGGGAAACATTTGTCCCAGTTGCAGTGTGAGGGGGTGGGAGCACCAAGAAATATACATCCCAGTTGCAGTGTGAGGGGGTGGGAGCACCAAGAAATATACATCCCAACTGCAGTGGATGGGTTAATAGGTTAACAGTTGCTTATGAAATGTTGTTATTATCTGATTATTTAACAATATTAAAGTGTAGCTAAATTTTATTTATGATATTTTAAGTTATTTTTTATTATTGTTGATGAGAAGAACTTGATTAAGGAGGAGATGGCTCTGATTATACTCTTTCTTGGAATATTAATAATTCTTCATTGAAACACAAGGTTATTTTAATTTTGGAAGTTAGTTTATTGTAACAGGAAATTTATGTTACATTTATGAATTTTACAAATAAGTAGCTTATTTTATTTTTAAGATGTTTGACTTTTTAAGGCTTTCATTATCATAAAAGTATAATTTAGTATGCATGTGCTTTTTTATTAAGTTTTTATTTAATAGATCTTGAGTGACAATGAAGAACAACCAAAAAAATCAATCAATTACTGTTAAATTTTATCATAAAAATACTATATTAAGTATTTTATTTTTCCAATTTTCAACTTTTTGAGCTAAAGAAATGTGGTTCATTAAAATATTTTCTTTCATTGATATTCTAAAAACAATTAATTACTAGCATCATATCTAAACTGATACATGTTAAACAAAAGGAATATATACATATATATATGTTTCACAAGTTTTATCTCAAGTTAATGAACTGTAAGATTTCTTGAAACAGTTAAAAATTACAAGTTACTTAGAGGCTCTTTCAGATTAGATTTAAATTTTATTCATCTCGTTGTTTAAGTTAATTTTAAAAAAATATTCTTATAATAACTTTTCAGTAGTTGGCCAAGACAGACTTGAAACAAGTATAGACAATCATAATGGAAACTTTTGTGCTCTTGATGGAACCTCGAAACAACACCAACTCAAATGCTTAAAAACAGAGGTACTGTTATGATTTTAGATCAGTTGTTTAATAATTTCATCCACTGTGTATGATATGATATGAAATATTGATATTATTCATGCTAGTTTTAACTTGACAAATCCAAACAGTTTTTATTATAAACATGAAATTAATACTTAGTTCAGATACCAGGGATTGAAACTAACTTTTATGGCCATTATCAAATGTTTGTCCAGTTTCTTTAACCAAGTCACCATGAGCTTGTATTTTTCAGATGTTGAATACACACCTGCATATCAAATTCTAAAATCTAAGTAATAATAATAATTCTGAGTATTTCAACACACTTTAGCCCAATGCCACTTAGCACAGGAGAGTAGGAATGATTTTTTTCTTAAGAGAGTAAACACTATATCCTTGAAATGAAAAGTTGTTAAATTCATGTTACTCTCACGTATACCACTGAACTCAAACTTGTTTTCGATTATAGATGTCAACACTGAAATAATCACTCAGAGAACAACATATTGATATACTTATAGATAATATAACTAAGGGCATGTTAATCCTTCTACCTCAGCAACTTTCCTACAGCAACAAAGTATTGGTTTCTCTGATAAACTAAGCTTACAGTATTTATAAAAATACAAACAAATCCTGATTAACTAAGACATTTCTTAAAGGAAGCCAATTAACATAACATAATGTTTCGGGATAACATGAGACCTATTGGCCCATTTTGGCTGTCCCATCCTCTGAACTAAACTGAAGCTATTATAAAAAAGTCTTAAAGCCAGCCCTTATCATTCATATAATTATCAAACTTTAATTTGAACTCATATAAACTTACTGCCTCCACAACTTTCGAAGGCAACCCATTCCAAAAGCCAACCACCTTCTCCAAAAAATAAAACTGTCTTAACTGAAGATGACTCCTACCTTGCCAAAATTTATATTTGTTTCCGCTAGTCCTATTGTTTTCATCATTAAATATGAAAAGATGATGATGCATCAACACTATCAATTCCCTTTACAATCTTAAACACCTCAATCAGATCCCCTCTAACTCTTCTTTTTTCAAGAGAAAACAATCTGAAAGATTTCATCCTCTCCTTGTATGACAACCCCAGGCAACATTCTAGTAACACTTCTCTGAACCCTTTCCAACAATTCAATGTCTTTCCTAAGGTAAGGAGCCCAAGACTGACCACAATATTCC